GCCGATCGTGTAGTGGTCTGGTCTAGAACAAACCTTGACGTCATCCTAAGTGAGACCGGGGTCTTCAAATGAAGGCTACTCGGGTAAGTGAGATAGGCACAAATGATGCACCCCTCGCCTTAGATCCAAGAGCAAAATAGTTCACGTCGTGAAAGACGGATATATAGGAGTGCGTCGAGATGGACGGCTTACCTCGGCCTCGCGAATAGTATCGTCGCGGACGATTTGGAGTGCCTCGCGGGGAGGGCTTACCTCAGCCTCGTAGAAGAGGAAATAAAATCGCGTCGTGGGAGACGGATGGGAGTGCGTCGTGGCGGGACGTCTTACCTCGGCCTCGTGGAAGAGGAAATGAGATCGCGTCGTGGAAGACAGATAGGAGTGCGTCGAGATGGACGGCTTACCTCGGCCTCGCGATATTATCGTCGCGGACGATCTTCAACACCTCGTAGAGAGGGTTTTACCCGTCCTCGCTAAGGAATGACTAAATGAGTTGGATCTGAGCCATGCCCTGAGGCAGGTCGCTGGCCTGTGTGGGGTGCGAGATTAAGCTTTGCACTCGTCCCACATCAGGGCTTAAAGTGTTGAACATGAAATGTAATACCATCGTCCAAGTGAGGTCTGATCACATGTGGTGGACAAGGTAATAGAAATAATAATAATAAAGTAAATATTATCAATGATGATAATGATAATAAAGTAAAAAATAATAAATACGGACTAGTGAAAATGTGTGTAAGAGGACTTATCTTTTCTTTTAGGATTTTCAGGACCCACATGTGAATAGTAAGCCCACTTGCCCAACATTTCTTCCTCGAAAGAAAAGACATCTGTCCCTTGGTGTTGCCCAGCTTTTCTCCTTTACAGCTGGAAATAATTACATCCACCCTCTTACGACGTGGAGTAGTGGACAGCTGCTGTTGGTTTTTGCCAGCTTTGGTCGCTGCAAGAGAGGATGGCTAGCCGACTGTTCTGGCCATCAAAATCCACTACCGATTGGAGTCCGGCGAAGGGTGGGGATTGGCGGGCTGTACGAAACGGTTCGCCCCCCATCAAAATCTGATCCGCCCCCTTCCTTCTCGACGCTAGCCTGACCAAAATTGGTTTTGCATCTTGACTCCCTGCGTTCCGCTGTGGTCTGCCGGTCTGAACAGTATCGTCGGCGACTCGAAGTGGCTTCGCCGAGGAATGGGCCTTCCGTGGATCAAGGAAACATTGCTCTCGGACCTCGCCGTTGGTCTCCTTCACACCTTGAGCCGCTGTAGCTATCGGACGTCAGTGGACAGCGGTGAAGAGCTCGCCGATGGAGTTCGTCGCCGGCAGTGCCATGCCACTGACGGATCTCGTCGCTGCTCTAGAGTCATCGGCGATCGTCATTAGCTGCGTAGAGGGACGCCGTGCACTGGAGTCATCGGAGCCGTGCAACTCGGGGCCATTGAGAATCCGTACGACGGCCATCGTTGGTGGATTGTCGCCGGCTAAAGCAAGGGACAGACGCCGGTCAGTGGTCGTCAATCGGCCCCTGGGATGACAGATCTGAAGCAGATCTACGGCGTGGCTCTCCCGTCGTGCTTCGAAGCCGGCAGTGGTCTTCTGTGCGCGGAATCAAGATCTGGCCGGCGATGGGTGGTGGCTCGAAGATCTGGACCTTCCTAGTGGTGGCGATGGTCGGCGAACTCAATCCGGCCACTCCTCAGCAGATCTACGACGAGGCGCACCCGTCGAAGCCGGCTGTGGTCTTCCGTGCGCCAATGATAGATCTGGTCGGCGATGGTGGGGAATTCCAGACCTGCGACCGAATCCCACCACGAAGATCTGGAAGAACCACTCTGTTTGTTTTTTTTTGGAGCACGCTTGATGTGTTCGACACTCTCAACGAGAGCACCAATGTTGGGTTATGGAACCCGGGGGCCTAGGTGACTAGGCGGATGAGTATCGAACTAAGTACGAGTGCACGAAAATATGGGGTCAAGTATACTGAGAATGGAATTGCGCTAGTAAGGATAATACTTAAACGTAAGTCCCGAGCATGTGGAATGAGCTCCCCCTTCCCTTCCTCTTCCAAGAAGAGGGGTATATATAATGAGAGAGTGAAGGCTAGGGTTTACATACAAAGATTAATGGGCCGGCCCAACAGGCTGGGCCGCCCTAAATAAGTAATTAACAAACGACAAACGGGCCGATCGCACAAACTGGACCGCCCCAACTAATATTACACAAAGACCGGATACCCCCTGTTCGGGGTATCCATCA